TCCATAACAGTATTGAGTCTGTGTGCTATCGTCAAAACTGTGCAGTCCTTGAATTTCTCGCGAATTGTTCGCTGTATGAGAGCGTCAGTAGCTGGATCAACGTTGGCAGTCGCCTCATCCAGTACGATTATTTTATTATTCCTGACAATAGCTCGGGCTAGACAGAGCAATTGTCGCTGGCCAGCGCTGAAATTGGTACCACCTTGGGTGACTAGATAATCCAGGGACTGACTGTGGCCCTTCAGCTCCACTTCTCCCAGAGCAGCCCAGAGTTGATCGTCCTTGAATTGATGGAAGGGATCCAAATTATCACGCAGTGTTGCTGAAAATAGCATTGGTTCCTGTGGTATTATGGATATTTTTCTTCTCAAGTCATGCAGGCCGATCTTCTTTGTATCAACTCCATCAATACGAATGGCTCCTTCGAGTTTCGCTAAGTTGAAGAGTGCAGCTATGAGTGATGATTTACCAGCCCCAGTGCGGCCCACAACTCCCACCTGAATCAATATCGTTAATGTTTTAATTATTTTTTAACACCGTCTCTCTCACGTATTATCTCAAAGATTAACTTGAGGTTCATTTGAAATCAATTATTCATTGATTGAAAAATACTATCACGTGGTATTTTATAACAGCTTTTAAAGGACATCAGGTTTAAAATTACCTTCATGCCTGGCTCTATAATGAGATTCAAGTCCTTCAAAACAGGTGCATCTTTCTCTGAATATCTCAAATAAACGTGATCAAATTCTATTCGTCCCTCACGAGGCCAAGTTACTGGTGGCTTTGAATTAACTTCACTGTCGAAGGGCCCCTCCCTCTCCAACCTAGTGTACTGTAATACACGTTCCACTGATGTCATTTGCGCCACCATTTCTGCAGTCTGAGCCATTCCGTATTGTAGCATACCACAGAGAATCAAAATTTGGGATATGGCCAGGCCGACATCTCCAGCGAATGTGGAATCTGCATAATCAAAATTCACATAATGACATTTGAATCAACATTTCTACGATGAGGTGATAAGAAAATTAATGACTGCTACCATTTTTGAGAATGATGAAGCTGTAAGTGATGAAAGCAACAAAGACAATAGTCACAGCATCCAGCCAAAGACCAAAAGCCGTACTAATAGAGATCAACAGCGAGTTAGCACTGGTGTGAACATCCTGATGGTTATCAAATTCCCTCCGCAACATCTCCTGTCCCCCAGCTGATCGAATGGTCGCCAATCCAGCCAGTGATGCATTGACATGAGAAAAAACTGGACTCTTTGCTGAAATCATCAAAGCAATAGCTCCATACCAAGAATATTCACAAATTAATAAGCAAATTGGTGTTGAAAATATTTGAATCTCTCACTGATTCCTTCCAGTCGTTTCAGATCCTGCGCAGTTGCCAAGAACAAAGTTCTTATTTTCCAATAGCAGTAGCCCATCACTGCCATTGAGAATATAGTCCACCAATTGATGATGAGTACTTGAGATAGTATTCCTATCATCACTGCAAACACTTGGATGGAATCTATCAAGGCGTTTGGAAGTAGCTCATCGATGCATCCAGTATCCTTCGAGAATCTATTAACTATGCGCCCTGCAGAGTAACGCCAAAAGGAACTTCATGAAAAGTAGAATTTATGTGGCGACATCTAATGTTCTATCGTCACCATTTGAATATTATTTACCTGATGGATTATTGTCAAAAAATTTCATTGGTGCTTGAAGCAAACATTCGAGCATGAGAGTGTGGATATTTTTCCCTGCATTCATGCATATTTTGAAAAATACTACATTCCTAGCGATTGTAAGAATAGTACATGCCGTTATCAACGTTCCATAAATCCAAAGAGCTCTGTGATCCACATGACGATCATCGTTGTGAGGTGCATCTGTCAAATTTATTGTCAGAGAAACATAATCTTCGATATAAGTGTAATTTTCATCCTCATTGATATGGAGACTCTCATTCCTCGCTGAATAGTTCTGGATGACGTGATTGTAGCGTCGCATCTCCACCTGATTAGTCCAATGGGCAACCCAATAGTCCGAGCCACTGCTCCCCAATTGTCCGGTTATCAAAAATACCACGAACATGAAAAGCAGGAAATAACTGCCAGAAGCCCTGAAGTACTTCCCAAACAGGGACCCTGATAGTTTCCCCTTGGCGATGAGCTCTTCCGTCTCCTCAAGCTCGTCGCCGTCCTCCTCCTCCTCCTCCTTCTCCTCCCTCTCTCTATCGGTCCCCGAGACGTAGGAAATTTGCGAAATTAAAGGCATGTGGCCATTACTCATTCGATTCTCCACCGCCTCCTCCTCCTCTTTCTCCCCCTTATTATCAACATGTAGTAATTCGAAATCGTCCCGCCTGAAATCGTGATAACTGCCCTGCTTCGCAATAACTCCGCGGTTCAATATGATGATGAAATCAGCGTCCTTGAGGTACTGCACCTGATGAGTAACGAGAATCCTCGTTTTATCCGCCAAATATTCCATGAAGCATCCTTCAAACAAACTTCTACCGACGTGTGTGTCAACAGCCGACAGAGGATCATCGAAAAGATAAATATCAGCCTTTTGATAAACAGCTCTTGCGAGATTAATTCTAGCGCGTTGTCCACCACTGAGTGACGTACCACGCTCGCCCACCAGTGTTCTATCACCTTGAGGAAGTTGTATAAAGTCCTTGGTCAATGCGCAAGCACACACCACTTGACGATATCTCGACTCATCGTAAGGCTGTCCAAAGAGTATATTATTCCTCACACTTCCAGCAAATAGCCAGGGCTCCTGACTAGCATATGACACTGATCCCCCAACTGTCACGTGGCCATGAGTCGAATGCAATTCTCCAAGAATCAATTGCAATAAAGAACTCTTGCCGGCGCCGACTGGACCCACCACTGCAGTCAGCGTGCCAGACTTTATTGTTATATTTATATCACACAATGTCTTCGTTATTGACTCTTGATCCCAAGAGGCAGTGACTTTTTCAATTCTTATTGAAGCTGCATCACCCGGTGCTTGCTCAATTGCGAGTGGATGATTGTCCTCCAGTAACAGGAAGTTCTCCAGTCGTTTAATCGTGACTGTTGCTTCTGATGCATATGTCACAGCCATTGGAATGTAAAACGCCGCTCCGGCTTGCAGACGATTGAAATACTGCGCCATGGAGAAGACTTTGGCTGCTGATATAGTGTGCCCTAAAAGCACATACGTCATTACTGTGAAGAACAAAGTTGTTCGTTCCGTGAACACCAGCGATGCTCGTATTGTTCCTCTCCAGTATGACATTACAGTGAGAACATCAATCTCGTGTTTCCTCGCGAGTGAAACCAACCGGAGGAAGGGCTTCTCCCACGTGTACATTTTAATCACTTGTACTCCAGTTATTATTTCACTCATCAGTCGCACACGCTCGTCAGTGCGCACTGCCACTTTAGCCCGAAGTCTAGCTGTCAGTCCACTCAGGTATCCTTGAACAGGTACCGTTTGCATCAGAAGGAGAAAAATTCCAGCCAGAGTTGCCATTCCTACATTCTGCCAGATTAAATATGCTATCGCTGCACTCTGAAGCGGAATTATCCATAAAGAGTGAAGAAGTGTGAATACTTGATCAAATCTTGCTACATCGTTGGATAATAAGTTTATTATCTGACCACTGGTGGTTCTGTTTGCTGAACTTCTGGATAACTTCAAAATCTGTCGCAAAAGTGGGCTGATACACGTATGAAAAAATTCAATAGAAAAACTCTGCGAATTCGCTACAAAGTTCTATTGGAATTCTATTAAAATTCTAGGGATATATATTCTAAGAGATATTTGATAGGGAATAGTCAATAGATTTCCATTTTTCTATATGAATATCTTGGAATTTTTTCTTTAAGAATGCATGAATTTCCTATGTATTTTTCACTCGGAGAGTTCTTTAGAACTTCCAATAGAAATTTTCTAGCGAATTCGCTAAGGTTTTCTATTAAATTTTTTCATACGTGTGAGATTGCGATTCACGCTGAATAATGATTTCACTATTTCATAACATAAATCTAACCTTTCGGTAGATCAAGGAAGAACTCGCTATTCGCAATCTCATTCCCATCTCCAACTGTCCCAGGTTCGAATGATGATCAATCAGAGCCACAATTGCTGACATTATTACGACTAGTGACGCATACGTATACGCCTCCTGTATCGTGATCGTTGAGTCCCGAGCAAAAAAGCTGGTAAGAAGGCCGAGTACGTAGGGCTGCAATACACTAAAATCAAAACCGTAAATCCGTAGAACTTTAAAACTCCATTGAATGCCCATTAACTTCGTTAATAAATCAGTAGCGAAGTGGTAAAGCGGTTTAAGTCGACTCATCTCCACGTTGAGTTTTTGAGGAATATTTTGGAATCTAAGGGAGATAGCGAAATTTTCGCAGTTACATTTGTTGTAGCTCTCAGTCGGCTCTACAAAAAAGGTTTTAACAAAAATTTTGCCATCTACCTTAGATTCCGAGATATTCATTGAGAACTGGTCAATAGTCAAAATTGACTTACCGTTTTACCACTTCGCTAGTGAAATAGTTATAGACAAAAATTACCATTAGTTTTTGGCCGATCTTATTGAAGAATTCCGCAGCTTTACAGCGCGTTTTTAAAACAGACGAAAAATCTCCAATAGAAAATATTTTACAAAAAAATCCGCGGAATTCCATTTTTCTGTACAACGTTTTTTATTGAAACATTTTCTGTAGAAATTCTTCGACATGAATTTCGCAAGTGTTTTTACGATATTTTCCCCCTTTTTTCATTAAAAAAATGAAACGAAAAAAAAAGGAAATTTGAGCCGAGGAATTTTTGTAGAAAATAATAAGAATATCTTCTATTGAACATTTGCATTAAAAAAAATTTCAATAGACAAATTAATAGAAACTTCAATGGAAATCCAATGGATTTTTCTCTTTCTCTTTCAGTATTTTTACCTCAATATTGAACTAAAAAATAATAGTCCACCGTAGTACATGTACGACCACAGGAATGTTTTCCTGATTGCAGTAAAGAATTTTGGTTTTCTCCCTGCCCGACATGCTGCAGCAACCTCCTCATTCCAATTTGCTTCCAGAGTGTTTCCAAGGGGTTCACTGAGATCAGGAGGTAGCGTATTATGCAGATCCTTCACCTCCAAATCATTTCGCCTTCCATAAACGAATAATGGCTTCAGCCACCTGGGGTTAAATACGTTATAAAATATCGAGTATTTAATGGGTTTCAGCCGTTGAAATGGCCTGAATTTGAAGGCCAAAACGAAATTTAAACAAATTGTTGTATCTCAGGAACTAAAATGCAAATTTTTTCTGAGTAAATTCGCTCGGTTTTTTGTTAAATTTTTTCATACGTGGGCTCTTGCTGAATTTGAACAGAAACTCACCAGAAAAATAATCGCCCCAGGACATTTGTACTTCTTCGAGGGCTTGGGTTGTCGTATTCCGTACGCTTGTCCATTTTAATCTCCTCAACCCGACAAAATTACCTTAAGTAGAGCACCATTGGCTCTCTTTCACGTCCAAGACTGAATGGACTACTGCGTTAATAAAATCCGAAAAAAATCCAATGATTGGTGTCGACTGCCAGCTCGTTATCTCTGCGATTCTTTATCAAACGAAGTGTAACCCTCTTGACATTCTGCTATATATTTTCCATTGCAACAGTAGGTACAAATTTATGTGGAATCGTTGCTTGATAAAGTGAAATAAGTATTATATACAGTAATTAATTTTTTGTTAATGCACAACAGTCTTTATTGCATAGTTCCGACCAATTTATTACAGTGACTCACTGAAGATTGTTCTGAACGTGGGATTTTCACTAGTCATTTGAACAAATTTGTCAAGTTACGTATGCGGAGCGATTGGTTTCTGAGCTCCTTCCGCTATCTTTTTCAATCTATCAACCACAGCAGCACCCGTTTCATTCGCCATTCTCGTCAAGTACCCGTCTTTTTGTAAGAGCACGTGAGGAGAATCGTATTCCACAACTTGACCGTAATCCATCACGAGAATTCGATCGCTATCCATAACAGTATTGAGTCTGTGTGCTATCGTCAAAACTGTGCAGTCCTTGAATTTCTCGCGAATTGTTCGCTGTATGAGAGCGTCAGTGGCTGGATCAACGTTGGCAGTCGCCTCATCCAGTACGATTATTTTATTATTCCTGACAATAGCTCGGGCTAGACAGAGCAATTGTCGCTGGCCAGCGCTGAAATTGGTACCACCTTGGGTGACTAGATAATCCAGGGACTGACTGTGATCCTTCAGCTCCACTTCTTCCAGAGCAGCCCAGAGTTGATCGTCCTTGAATTGGTGGAAGGGATCCAAATTATCACGCAGTGTTGCTGTAAATAGCATTGGTTCCTGTGGTATTATGGATATTTTTCTTCTCAAGTCATGCAGGCCGATCTTCTTTGTATCAACTCCATCAATACGAATAGCACCTTCAAGTTTCGCTAAGTTGAAGAGTGCTGCTATGAGTGATGATTTACCAGCCCCCGTGCGGCCCACAACTCCCACCTGAATCAACATCGTTAATGTTCTAATTATTTTCTAGAAGATTAACTTCAGTTTCATTAGAAATCAATTCAGTAACGAACTGGTAAAACTGGTTAAGTTGATTTTGACTATTTTCCAGTTTTCAATGAACATCTCAGAATCTAAGGCAGATACCAAAATTTTTGACAAGATCTTTTCTATAGCACTCAATTAACTCTACAAAAAAGGTCATTATAAAAATTTCGTTATCTCTTTTATATTCGGAAATATTCCTCAAGAACGTAGATGAGAGCTAAGTCGACTTGAACCGTTTTACGACTTCGCTACTGAATTATTCATTAATTAGAGAAAAAACTATCACATGATATTTTGCAACTGCTTTTAAAGGACATCAGGTCTAATCCATAACGTCATAACTATCGCAAAAAATTCTACTCTGTACCGATTTTTAAATGAAAGCTTCTTATATCGCCATCATTCTGATCACTCTTTTCTTCGCTTGTGCCGATACAATCCCTATTTTATCTTATCTTGAGTATCACGTAGAGTTTTATCGAGCAAAAATTATACATTCATCCCAAAACTGATATCAATTCGGTAATAAATGTTTCACTGATAATCTGATGAGGCTCTCCGATTTGATTTACCTTCATGCCCGGCTCTATACAAATCCTCAAATCCTTCAAGACTGGCGCATCGTCGACGGAATACCTCAAGTAGACGTGATCAAATTCAATTCGTCCCTGATGCGGCCAAGTTGTTGGTGGCCTTGAATTAACTTCACTGTCGAAGGGCTCTTCCTTCTCCAATCTAGTGTACTGTAATACACGCTCCACTGATGTCATTTGCGCCACCATTTCTGCAGTCTGACGCATTCCATTTTGAACCATCCCACAGAGAATCAAAATTTGGGATATTGCCAGGCCAACATTTCCAGCGAATGTTGAATCTGCATAATCAAAATTCACATAATGACATTTGAATCAACATTTCTACGATGAGATGAGAAGAAAATTAATGATTGCTACCATTTTTGAGAATGATAAAACTATAAGTGATGAAAGCAACGAAGACAATAGTCACAGCGTCCAGCCAAAGCCCAAAAGCCGTACAAGTAGAGATCAACAACGAGTTAACACTGGTGTGAACATCCTGATGGTTATCAAATTCCTTTCGCAACATCTCCTGTCCCCCAGCGGATCGAATGGTCGTCAATCCGGCGAGTGTTGCATTGACATGAGAAAAAACTGGACTCTTTGCTGAAATCATCAAAGTAAACGCTCCATACCAAGAATATTCACAAATTGATAAGCAAATTTGTGTTGAAAATATTTGAATCTCTCACTGATTCCTTCCAGTCGTTTCAGATCCTGCGCAGTTGCCAAGAATAAATTTCTTATTTTCCAATAGAAGTAGCCCACCACTGCTGTTGGGAACACGGTCCACCAGTTGATGATGAGCACTTGAGATAATATGCCGATCATCACTGCAAATATCTGGATAGAATCTAACACCGCGTTCGGCAGAAGTTCATCAATGCATCCTACGTCTTTGGCAAAACGGTTGACTATACGTCCTGTAGAGTAATACTGCGATTAGATCTGTACAGAGCTCAATCGGTCCGCAAAATTATGCAAAAATGCAGTCATTCTAAATCATCACTCACCTGAAGGATTGCTATTAAAGAACCTCATTGGTGCCTGCAGCAAACATCTGAGCATTTGATCGTGGATATTTTTGCCTGCATTCATGCAAACTTTGAAGAACACCAGATTCCTAGCTGTTGTGAAAATAGTACATGCTGCTACCAATATCCCATAAATCCAAAGTGCTGTGTTATTGTCATAATGATGATCAATATGTCCGAAAACTCCTGGATTGATCGAGGGAGTCGATCCATTTCCAAAATACGTGGCATTTTCATCGTCAACAGTGTGGAGAGACTCATTTCTAAAAGAATAGTTCTGCGCGATTCCACTGGTCTGTTGCAAGTCCACCTGGCGAGTCCAATAAGCAACCCAGTAATCCGAGCCACTGCTCCCCAACTGCCCCAGCAGCAAAAACACAAAAAACATGAAAAGAAGAAAATAACTGCCAGAGGACTTGAAGTAGTTCCAAAATAGTGATTTTGAGATTTTCCCCTTGCCCATGAGTTCTTCCGTCTCCTTGGGTTCGACTTCCTCCTTCTCCTCTTTATCAACCCTCGAATAGTAAGACACTTGAGGGATTGAAGGTCCTTTCCCGTTACCAAATGCGTCCTCCTTCATCTCCTTTTCCTCTTGCTCCACCTCGTCATCAACATGCAGTATTGCGAAATCATCCTGCCCAAAATCCTCGGAACTCCCCTGCTTCTCAACAACTCCATGGTTCAACATGACGATGAAATCGATATCCTTGAGGTGCTGCACCTGATGAGTAACTAGAATCCTCGTTTTATCCGCCAAATATTCCATGAAGCATTCTTCAAACAAACTTCTACCAACGTGTGCGTCAACAGCCGACAGAGGATCATCGAAAAGATAAATATCAGCTTTTTGATAAACAGCTCTTGCGAGATTAATTCTAGCGCGTTGTCCACCACTGAGTGACGTACCACGCTCACCCACCGGTGTTCTATCACCTTGAGGAAGTTGTATAAAGTCCTTGGTCAATGCGCAAGCACGCACCACTTGACGATATCTCGACTCATCGTAAGGCTGTCCAAAGAGTATATTATTCCTCACACTTCCAGCAAATAGCCAGGGCTCCTGACTAGCATATGACACTGATCCCCCAACTGTCACGTGGCCATGAGTCGAATGCAATTCTCCAAGAATCAATTGCAATAAAGAACTCTTGCCGGCGCCGACTGGACCCACCACTGCAGTCAGCGTGCCAGACTTTATTGTTATATTTATATCCCGCAATGTCTTAGTTATTGACTCTTGATCCCAGGATGCGGTGACTTCTTCTATTCTTATTGAAGCTGCATCACCCGGTGCTTGCTCAATGGCGAGTGGATGATTGTCCTCCAGTAACAGAAAATTCTCCAGTCGTTTAATCGTGACTGTTGCTTCTGACACATACGCCAACCCCGTCGGCATGTGATACGCTACTCCGCATTGCAAACGATTGAAACACTGCGCCATGGAGAAGACTTTGGCTGCTGTTATAGTGTGCCCCAAAAGCACATACGTCATTACTGTGAAGAACAAAGTCGTTCGTTCAATGAATATTAGTGACGCTCGCATTGCTCCTCTCCAATATGCTATTACGGTGAGAACATCGATCTCGTGTTTTCTCGCGAGTGATACTAAACGCAGAAAGGGCTCCTCCCAAGTGTACATTTTAATCACCTGAACTCCAGTTATTATCTCACTCATCAGTCGCACACGCTCGTCAGTGCGCACTGCCACTTTCGCTCGCAGTTTAGCTGTCAATCCCGTGAAGTATATTTGCACGGGCACCGTTTGAATCAGAAGGACGAAAATCCCGGCCACAGTTGCAATTTGCACATTTCGCCAGATCAAATACGTTATTGCTGCACTCTGGATCGGAATTACCCACAAGTAGTGAAGACGTGTGAACACCAGATCAAATCTTGCCACATCGTTTGATAATAAGTTTATTATCTGACCGCCGGCGGTTCGGTTTGCCGAACTCCTGGAGAGCTTTAAAATCTGCGAGAAAGACGTATCGGTGAGATACCGGGGATCCAGAACCAGAATAAGTTGTATAAAAACATTGAATTCTATTGACTTTTTCTATAAGACATTTTTGATTGAACGTTAATATGTTTCTCTCCCTGAATTACTGTTGTGGCCGTGAAAAATTCCATTGGAATTTGATGTTTGGGATGAATCGTTCGGGATGAATTCACCTAGAACCGTAGGAATACGAATCGAATTACCTTTCGATAAATTAACGAAGAACTCGCGATGCGCAATCTCATTCCCATCTCCTCCTGTCCCTTGTTTGAATGATGAAAAGCCAGAGCCATAACAACTGACGTTATTATTACAAGTGATGCGTATGTACACGCTTCTCCCACTGTGATGGTTGAATCTGGAGTGAAATAGCTGATAAGAAGACCGAGAAAATAAGGCTGCAATACACTGCAATGAAATTGATCAACAAAACGTGAAATCATCCGTTAAAAATCCTGGACCTATCACTGGAAATCAATAATTGCGAATGTTTTTACCACATTATTGAATGAGAAAATACCAGTGCACCATAGTACATGTGTGACAACATGAAGGTTTTTATGATTGCACTTAAGAATTTTGGCTTTCTCCCCGCCTGACGTGCTGCAGCCAATTCCCTGTTCCAATTTCTCTCGAGAGTGTTTCCGAGCGGTTCACTGAGGTCAGCAGCTAGGGTGTTGTATAAATCCTTGCCCTCCAGATCATTCTTCTTTCCGTAAGCAAATAATGGCTTCAGCCACCTGGAATTTATTGTAAAATTCATTTAAGGATATCCAAGATCTTTAGCTATTTTTCCAGAGCTTTCTTTTGAAACCCATTTGATTTCAAGCTCCCGGACATTTTATAGTGATTTTATTATTTAAACTTTGCAGGTCTGAATTTAAATCTCGATATTGAACCGTTAGAAAACATTTTTTTAATCGGAAAAAGAAAAATAAAAATTTACTTTTGAAAGATTTATAAAATAATTTAAAAATTCCATTTTTTTTTCAAATTTCGAGCACTTTCTATAAATAATTCATAAACGATCGATTTTTCACTGTTAAAATCATTTGTTCGGAATAAAAAAATGAGGTTTCCGAAGATTTAAATAATTTCAATGATTTATTTTGAAATAACGAATGTTAAAAAAAATAATTCTGTGCAAAATGTCATTTTAATTGAAAACGGTTGAATCTGTCGAGTGGTCTGTACCAAACTGTAACAGATACTTGGATATCCTTAAGGGCATGGGAATATTCTGAATCTACGAGTTCTCGAGACACTCACCAGAAAAATAATTTTCCAAATACATTCGCTGTTGTTCGCGGGCTCGGATTATCATACTTCATGCTTCTATTCATTGCACTCACTGCAGTACTACGATATTATCTGGCGCAAAGAGATACCAGTAATGATGCTGCGCGGTGCAGGTGGGACGAAGGACATTGATAACTGTTTTAAAAGTAGAACAGTCCGATGATAAAGCAACATTTCTTACTCTCATCGACGACGTTCGTTTACACGTTATGTTAGCGTTGTTTTGTCGAGTGATAGTATCACTATTGTTTGGGTCTCGTAAACTTTACCCTGGGATCATTTTAGATATGGCATGTACAGCGAGTTGACAATTTATTTCGATCGTTATGCTTTCGTCAAATACACTGCTGTTAACATTTTTTTCGATTTATTTAATGAAATTTATCTTACAAGAGATTCACATTGATTGCATTTATTCGAATTGATTATTTCACAAAAAAGTTATTTTACACTTCGGATTTTTTACTGATATCGTCGAGCTTTATTTTCTTGTACGTTTCTTCGGCAATTGTTTTCAATTTGTTGACCGTAGCAGTACCAGTTTCACTAGCCATGCTCGTTAAATATCCATTCTCATTTCGTAAGAGTTCATGAGGATAATCATATTCCACAACTTGGCCGTGATCCATCACTAGTATTCGATCGCTGTCCATAACAGTATTGAGTCTGTGTGCTATCGTCAAAACTGTGCAGTCCTTGAATTTCTCGCGAATTGTTCGCTGTATGAGAGCGTCAGTAGCTGGATCAACGTTGGCAGTCGCCTCATCCAGTACGATTATTTTATTATTCCTGACAATAGCTCGGGCTAGACAGAGCAATTGTCGCTGGCCAGCGCTGAAATTGGTACCACCTTGGGTGACTAGATAATCCAGGGACTGACTGTGGCCCTTCAGCTCCACTTCTCCCAGAGCAGCCCAGAGTTGATCGTCCTTGAATTGATGGAAGGGATCCAAATTATCACGCAGTGTTGCTGAAAATAGCATTGGTTCCTGTGGTATTATGGATATTTTTCTTCTCAAGTCATGCAGGCCGATCTTCTTTGTATCAACTCCATCAATACGAATGGCTCCTTCGAGTTTCGCTAAGTTGAAGAGTGCAGCTATGAGTGATGATTTACCAGCCCCCGTGCGGCCCACAACTCCCACCTGAATCAATATCGTTAATGTTTTAATTATTTTTCAACACCGTCTCTCTCACATATTATCTCAAAGATTAACTTGAGACTCATTAGAAATCAATTATTCATTGATTGAAAAATACTATAACGTGGTATTTTATAACCGCTTTTAAAGGACATCAAGTTTAAAATTACCTTCATGCCTGGCTCTATAATGAGATTCAAGTCCTTCAAAACAGGTGCATCTTTTTCTGAATATCTCAAATAAACGTGATCAAATTCTATTCGTCCTTCACGAGGCCAAGTTGCTGGTGGCTTTGAATTAACTTCACTGTCGAAGGGCTCCTCCCTCTCCAACCTAGTGTACTGTAATACACGTTCCACTGATGTCATTTGCGCCACCATTTGTGCAGTCTGGCTCATTCCATATTGAAGCATACCACAGAGAACCAGAATTTGAGATATTGCCAGGCCAACATCTCCAGCGAATGTAGAATCTGCATAATGAACATTCACATAATGACATTTGAATAAACATTGCTACGATGAGATGAGAAGAAAATTAATGACTGCTACCATTCTTGAGAATGATGAAACTGTAAGTGACGAAAGCAACAAAGACAATAGTCACTGCATCCAGCCAAAGACCAAAAGCCGTACTAGTAGAGATCAACAGCGAGTTAGTACTGGTGTGAACATCCTGATGGTTATCAAATCCCTTCCGCAACATCTCCTGTCCCCCAGCTGATCGAATGGTCGCCAATCCAGCCAGTGATGCATTGACATGAGAAAAAACTGGACTCTTTGCTGAAATCATCAAAGCAATAGCTCCATACCAAGAATATTCACAAATTAATAAGCAAATTGGTGTTTAAATTATTTGAATCTCTCACTGATTCCTTCCAGTCGTTTCAGATCCTGCGCAGTTGACAAGAACAAAGTTCTTATTTTCCAATAGAAGTAGCCCATCACTGCCATTGGCAATATAGTCCACCAGTTGATAATGAGCACTTGGGATAATATTCCTATCATCACCACGAACACTTGAATCGAATCGATCATTGCATTTGGCAGGAGTTCGTCAATACATCCGACGTCTTTGGAGAAACGATTCACAATACGCCCTGAATAGTAATGTTTAGATCATTTAGATTTACGGAGGATTAAATTTATCTGAAAAGTAATGCAAAAATACTGGAATAATCGAAATTCATCATTCACCTGAGGGGTTACTATGGAAAAATCTCATTGGCGCCTGCAGCAAACATTCCAGCATGAGATTATGAATATTCTTGCCTGCATTCATACAAATTTTGAAGAAGACTAGATTCCTCGCTGTTGTACAAATAGTACATGCCATTATAAATATTCCATAAATCCAGAGTGCTGTATAATTATCATAATGATGGTGAATGCGTCCAGAACCTGATGAATTCATTGCATTCTGCATGGTTCCATTGTTGTATTGCAATTCTACCTGATTAGTCCAATAAGCAACCCAATAGTCCGAGCCACTGCTCCCCAACTGCCCCAACAGCAAAAACACAAAAAACATGAAAAGAAGAAAATAACTGCCAGAAGACTTGAAGTACTTCCAATATAGTGACCTTGAAATTTTCCCTTTGGCCATCAATTCTTCCGTCTCCTCAGGCTCGTCCCCCTCCTCATTCTCGTCGTTATCAATCCCCGAGAAATAAGACATTTGCGAGAGTTGGGGCACCTCCCCATTGTCGGTTCCAATTTCCTTTTGTTTTTCCTCTGGCTCCGGTGCATCATCAAGATGCAACAATGCAAAATCATCCAGGCCAAAATCGTGGAATCTCCCCTGCTTTTCCACAACTCCACGATTCAACATGACGATGAAATCGACATCCTTGAGGTACTGCACCTGATGAGTAACTAGAATCCTCGTTTTATCCGCCAAATATTCCATGAAGCATTCTTCAAACAAACTTCTACCAACGTGTGCGTCAACAGCCGACAGAGGATCATCGAAAAGATAAATATCAGCTTTTTGATAAACAGCTCTTGCGAGATTAATTCTAGCGCGTTGTCCACCACTGAGTGACGTACCACGCTCACCCACCGGTGTTCTATCACCTTGAGGAAGTTGTATAAAGTCCTTGGTCAATGCGCAAGCACGCACCACTTGACGATATCTCGACTCATCGTAAGGCTGTCCAAAGAGTATATTATTCCTCACACTTCCAGCAAATAGCCAGGGCTCCTGACTAGCATATGACACTGATCCCCCAACTGTCACGTGGCCATGAGTCGAATGCAATTCTCCAAGAATCAATTGCAATAAAGAACTCTTGCCGGCGCCGACTGGACCCACCACTGCAGTCAGCGTGCCAGACTTTATTGTTATATTTATATCCCGCAATGTCTTAGTTATTGACTCTTGATCCCAGGATGCGGTGACTTCTTCTATTCTTATTGAAGCTGCATCACCCGGTGCTTGCTCAATGGCGAGTGGATGATTGTCCTCCAGTAACAGAAAATTCTCCAGTCGTTTAATCGTGACTGTTGCTTCTGACACATACGCCAACCCCGTCGGCATGTGATACGCTACTCCGCATTGCAAACGATTGAAACACTGCGCCATGGAGAAGACTTTGGCTGCTGTTATAGTGTGCCCCAAAAGCACATACGTCATTACTGTGAAGAACAAAGTCGTTCGTTCAATGAATATTAGTGACGCTCGCATTGCTCCTCTCCAATATGCTATTACGGTGAGAACATCGATCTCGTGTTTTCTCGCGAGTGATACTAAACGCAGAAAGGGCTCCTCCCAAGTGTACATTTTAATCACCTGAACTCCAGTTATTATCTCACTCATCAGTCGCACACGCTCGTCAGTGCGCACTGCCACTTTCGCTCGCAGTTTAGCTGTCAATCCCGTGAAGTATATTTGCACGGGCACCGTTTGAATCAGAAGGACGAAAATCCCGGCCACAGTTGCAATTTGCACATTTCGCCAGATCAAATACGTTATTGCTGCACTCTGGATCGGAATTACCCACAAGTAGTGAAGACGTGTGAACACCAGATCAAATCTTGCCACATCGTTTGATAATAAGTTTATTATCTGACCGCCGGCGGTTCGGTTTGCCGAACTCCTGGAGAGCTTTAAAATCTGCGAGAAAGACGTATCGGTGAGATACCGGGGATCCAGAACCAGAATAAGTTGTATAAAAACATTGAATTCTATTGACTTTTTCTATAAGACATTTTTGATTGAACGTTAATATGTTTCTCTCCCTGAATTACTGTTGTGGCCGTGAAAAATTCCATTGGAATTTGATGTTTGGGATGAATCGTTCGGGATGAATTCACCTAGAACCGTAGGAATACGAATCGAATTACCTTTCGATAAATTAACGAAGAACTCGCGATGCGCAATCTCATTCCCATCTCCTCCTGTCCCTTGTTTGAATGATGAAAAGCCAGAGCCATAACAACTGACGTTATTATTACAAGTGATGCGTATGTACACGCTTCTCCCACTGTGATGGTTGAATCTGGAGTGAAATAGCTGATAAGAAGACCGAGAAAATAAGGCTGCAATACACTGCAATGAAATTGATCAACAAAACGTGAAATCATCCGTTAAAAATCCTGGACCTATCACTGGAAATCAATAATTGCGAATGTTTTTACCACATTATTGAATGAGAAAATACCAGTGCACCATAGTACATGTGTGACAACATGAAGGTTTTTATGATTGCACTTAAGAATTTTGGCTTTCTCCCCGCCTGACGTGCTGCAGCCAATTCCCTGTTCCAATTTCTCTCGAGAGTGTTTCCGAGCGGTTCACTGAGGTCAGCAGCTAGGGTGTTGTATAAATCCTTGCCCTCCAGATCATTCTTCTTTCCGTAAGCAAATAATGGCTTCAGCCACCTGGAATTTATTGTAAAATTCATTTAAGGATATCCAAGATCTTTAGCTATTTTTCCAGAGCTTTCTTTTGAAACCCATTTGATTTCAAGCTCCCGGACATTTTATAGTGATTTTATTATTTAAACTTTGCAGGTCTGAATTTAAATCTCGATATTGAACCGTTAGAAAACATTTTTTTAATCGGAAAAAGAAAAATAAAAATTTACTTTTGAAAGATTTATAAAATAATTTAAAAATTCCATTTTTTTTTCAAATTTCGAGCACTTTCTATAAATAATTCATAAACGATCGATTTTTCACTGTTAAAATCATTTGTTCGGAATAAAAAAATGAGGTTTCCGAAGATTTAAATAATTTCAATGATTTATTTTGAAATAACGAATGTTAAAAAAAATAATTCTGTGCAAAATGTCATTTTAATTGAAAACGGTTGAATCTGTCGAGTGGTCTGTACCAAACTGTAACAGATACTTGGATATCCTTAAGGGCATGGGAATATTCTGAATCTACGAGTTCTCGAGACACTCACCAGAAAAATAATTTTCCAAATACATTCGCTGTTGTTCGCGGGCTCGGATTATCATACTTCATGCTTCTATTCATTGCACTCACTGCAGTACTACGATATTATCTGGCGCAAAGAGATACCAGTAATGATGCTGCGCGGTGCAGGTGGGACGAAGGACATTGATAACTGTTTTAAAAGTAGAACAGTCCGATGATAAAGCAACATTTCTTACTCTCATCGACGACGTTCGTTTACACGTTATGTTAGCGTTGTTTTGTCGAGTGATAGTATCACTATTGTTTGGGTCTCGTAAACTTTACCCTGGGATCATTTTAGATATGGCATGTACAGCGAGTTGACAATTTATTTCGATCGTTATGCTTTCGTCAAATACACTGCTGTTAACATTTTTTTCGATTTATTTAATGAAATTTATCTTACAAGAGATTCACATTGATTGCATTTATTCGAATTGATTATTTCACAAAAAAGTTATTTTACACTTCGGATTTTTTACTGATATCGTCGAGCTTTATTTTCTTGTACGTTTCTTCGGCAATTGTTTTCAATTTGTTGACCGTAGCAGTACCAGTTTCACTAGCCATGCTCGTTAAATATCCATTCTCATTTCGTAAGAGTTCATGAGGATAATCATATTCCACAACTTGGCCGTGATCCATCACTAGTATTCGATCGCTGTCCATAACAGTATTGAGTCTGTGTGCTATCGTCAAAACTGTGCAGTCCTTGAATTTCTCGCGAATTGTTCGCTGTATGAGAGCGTCAGTAGCTGGATCAACGTTGGCAGTCGCCTCATCCAGTACGATTATTTTATTATTCCTGACAATAGCTCGGGCTAGACAGAGCAATTGTCGCTGGCCAGCGCTGAAATTGGTACCACCTTGGGTGACTAGATAATCCAGGGACTGACTGTGGCCCTTCAGCTCCACTTCTCCCAGAGCAGCCCAGAGTTGATCGTCCTTGAATTGATGGAAGGGATCCAAATTATCACGCAGTGTTGCTGAAAATAGCATTGGTTCCTGTGGTATTATGGATATTTTTCTTCTCAAGTCATGCAGGCCGATCTTCTTTGTATCAACTCCATCAATACGAATGGCTCCTTCGAGTTTCGCTAAGTTGAAGAGTGCAGCTATGAGTGATGATTTACCAGCCCCAGTGCGGCCCACAACTCCCACCTGAATCAATATCGTTAATGTTTTAATTATTTTTTAACACCGTCTCTCTCACGTATTATCTCAAAGATTAACTTGAGGTTCATTTGAAATCAATTATTCATTGATTGAAAAATACTATCACGTGGTATTTTATAACAGCTTTTAAAGGACATCAGGTTTAAAATTACCTTCATGCCTGGCTCTATAATGAGATTCAAGTCCTTCAAAACAGGTGCATCTTTCTCTGAATATCTCAAATAAACGTGATCAAATTCTATTCGTCCCTCACGAGGCCAAGTTACTGGTGGCTTTGAATTAACTTCACTGTCGAAGGGCCCCTCCCTCTCCAACCTAGTGTACTGTAATACACGTTCCACTGATGTCATTTGCGCCACCATTTCTGCAGTCTGAGCCATTCCGTATTGTAGCATACCACAGAGAATCAAAATTTGGGATATGGCCAGGCCGACATCTCCAGCGAATGTGGAATCTGCATAATCAAAATTCACATAATGACATTTGAATCAACATTTCTACGATGAGGTGATAAGAAAATTAATGACTGCTACCATTTTTGAGAATGATGAAGCTGTAAGTGATGAAAGCAACAAAGACAATAGTCACAGCATCCAGCCAAAGACCAAAAGCCGTACTAATAGAGATCAACAGCGAGTTAGCACTGGTGTGAACATCCTGATGGTTATCAAATTCCCTCCGCAACATCTCCTGTCCCCCAGCTGATCGAATGGTCGCCAATCCAGCCAGTGATGCATTGACATGAGAAAAAACTGGACTCTTTGCTGAAATCATCAAAGCAATAGCTCCATACCAAGAATATTCACAAATTAATAAGCAAATTGGTGTTGAAAATATTTGAATCTCTCACTGATTCCTTCCAGTCGTTTCAGATCCTGCGCAGTTGCCAAGAACAAAGTTCTTATTTTCCAATAGCAGTAGCCCATCACTGCCATTGAGAATATAGTCCACCAATTGATGATGAGTACTTGAGATAGTATTCCTATCATCACTGCAAACACTTGGATGGAATCTATCAAGGCGTTTGGAAGTAGCTCATCGATGCATCCAGTATCCTTCGAGAATCTATTAACTATGCGCCCTGCAGAGTAACGCCAAAAGGAACTTCATGAAAAGTAGAATTTATGTGGCGACATCTAATGTTCTATCGTCACCATTTGAATATTATTTACCTGATGGATTATTGTCAAAAAATTTCATTGGTGCTTGAAGCAAACATTCGAGCATGAGAGTGTGGATATTTTTCCCTGCATTCATGCATATTTTGAAAAATACTACATTCCTAGCGATTGTAAGAATAGTACATGCCGTTATCAACGTTCCATAAATCCAAAGAGCTCTGTGATCCACATGACGATCATCGTTGTGAGGTGCATCTGTCAAATTTATTGTCAGAGAAACATAATCTTCGATATAAGTGTAATTTTCATCCTCATTGATATGGAGACTCTCATTCCTCGCTGAATAGTTCTGGATGACGTGATTGTAGCGTCGCATCTCCACCTGATTAGTCCAATGGGCAACCCAATAGTCCGAGCCACTGCTCCCCAATTGTCCGGTTATCAAAAATACCACGAACATGAAAAGCAGGAAATAACTGCCAGAAGCCCTGAAGTACTTCCCAAACAGGGACCCTGATAGTTTCCCCTTGGCGATGAGCTCTTCCGTCTCCTCAAGCTCGTCGCCGTCCTCCTCCTCCTCCTCCTTCTCCTCCCTCTCTCTATCGGTCCCCGAGACGTAGGAAATTTGCGAAATTAAAGGCATGTGGCCATTACTCATTCGATTCTCCACCGCCTCCTCCTCCTCTTTCTCCCCCTTATTATCAACATGTAGTAATTCGAAATCGTCCCGCCTGAAATCGTGATAACTGCCCTGCTTCGCAATAACTCCGCGGTTCAATATGATGATGAAATCAGCGTCCTTGAGGTACTGCACCTGATGAGTAACGAGAATCCTCGTTTTATCCGCCAAATATTCCATGAAGCATCCTTCAAACAAACTTCTACCGACGTGTGTGTCAACAGCCGACAGAGGATCATCGAAAAGATAAATATCAGCCTTTCGATAAACGGCTCTTGCGAGATTAATTCTAGCGCGTTGTCCACCACTGAGTGACATACCGCGCTCACCCACCGGTGTTTTATCACCTTGAGGAAGTTGTACAAAGTCCTTGGTCAATGCGCAAGCACGCACCACTTGACGATATCTCGACTCATCGTAAGGCTGTCCAAAGAGTATATTATTCCTCACACTTCCAGCAAATAGCCAGGGCTCCTGACTAGCATATGACACTGATCCCCCAACTGTCACGTGGCCATGAGTCGAATGCAATTCTCCAAGAATCAATTGCAATAAAGAACTCTTGCCGGCGCCGACTGGACCCACCACTGCAGTCAGCGTGCCAGACTTTATTGTTATATTTATATCACACAATGTCTTCGTTATTGACTCTTGATCCCAAGAGGCAGTGACTTTTTCAATTCTTATTGAAGCTGCATCATCCGGTGCTTGCTCAATTGCGAGTGGATGATTGTCCTCCAGTAACAGGAAATTCTCCAGTCGTTTAATCGTGACTGTTGCTTCTGACGCATATGTCAGAGCCATCGGAATGTACCACGCCGCTCCGGCTTGCAGACGATTGAAATACTGCGCCATGGAGAAGACTTTGGCTGCTGATATAGTGTGCCCTAAAAGCACATACGTCATTACTGTGAAGAACAAAGTTGTTCGTTCCGTGAACACCAGCGATGCTCGTATTACTGCTCTCCAGTATGACATCACAGTGATGACATCAATCTCGTGTTTCCTCGCGAGTGAAACTAACCGCAGGAAGGGCTTCTCCCACGTGTACATTTTAATCACTTGTACTCCAGTTATTATCTCACTCATCAGTCGCACACGCTCGTCAGTGCGCACTGCCACTTTAGCCCGAAGTCTAGCTGTCAGTCTACTCAGGTATCCTTGAACAGGCACCGTTTGCATCAGAAGGAGGAACATTCCCGCCAGGGTTGCCATTTCCACATTTTGCCAGATCAAATAGGCCAGCGCTGTGTACTGAATTGGAGTTATCCATAAATAATGAAGCAATGTGAACACCCGATCGAATCTGGCGACGTCGTTCGATAATAAATTCGTTATCTGACCGCCCGCTGTTCTGTTTGCCGAGCTTCTGGATAGCTTCAAAATCTGTCGGAAAGACGTGCAGATGAAATTCTCAACATGGAAATTAATTGATCAACCATGAGTAATGACTCCAGGTGCATAATATACGGGGAATCACCTTTCGGTAGACTAACGAAGAACTCGCGATGCGCAATCTCATTCCCATCTCCAACTGTCCCATTTGCGAATGGTGGTCAGTCACAGCCATAACAGCTGACATCATTATGACAAGTGATGCATACGCATACGCTTCTCCTCTTGTGATTGTTGAAGCAGCAGCGAAGTAGCTGATAAGGAGACCGAGGACGTAAGGCTGCAATACACTGCAATCAAAATAATAAATTGATAAAAGGAGAAAGCTCTTGTTGACGATTCAATTGTGTAAATAATGAGCAATGGTGGAGACAATGTCTGGGATCTCGTTATCAACTCCTCCGCATTCTCATGCATTTTTATTGAGCGGGGATATTCTTTCATTTGGGGAATTCGTGTTTTTGGGAAACATCTTTCTCCTGTAACCATTTTCGATGAATATCTCGGAGTCTAACGTAGATAGCAAAATTTTGTTGGAATATTTTTTGTAGAGCAAACTAAAAGCTACAAAAAAAGTTCTCATGAAAATTTCGCCATCTTTCTTAGATTCGGAGGTATTCCTCGAAAACTCAGCGATGAGCCAAGTCAACTTGTATTGTTTTGCCGCTTCACTACTGCATTGTTTTACCACAATGTTGAATGTAGAAGTAGCAGTCCTCCGTAGTACATGTGCGACAACATGTATGTTTTTAGGATTGTTGTTAAGAATTTTGGCTTTCTCCCCGCCTGACGTGCCGCAGCCAATTCTCTGTTCCAATTTTTTTCCAGAGTGTTTCCAAGTGGCTCACTGAGGTCGGCAACTAGGGTGTTGTATAAATCCTTGCCCTCCAGATCATTTTTCTTACCGTAAGAAAATAATTGCTTCAGCCACCTGGAAATTGATGCGCAACGCGTGGAGAATATTTATTGTAAAATTAATTTAAGGATATCCAAGTACTTTGGTTTATTTTTTCAGCGCTTTCTTTTGAGACCCATTTGTTTTCGAGGTCCCGGGCATTTTGCAATGATTTTATTATATAAACTTTGCAGGTCTGAATTTGAATCTCGATATTGAACCGTTAGAACAAATTTTTTTAATCTGAAAAAAAAATTAAAAATTTACATTTGACAGATTAATAAAATAATTAAAAAATTGCAATTTTTTAAAATTCCGAGCATTCTCTATAAATAATTTATAAACAATGGATGTTCCGCGATAAAAATCATTTGTTCGGAATTGCAACAAATTTATTCATATTCCGAATTTTACCAGAAATCAATTTCGTGCCGAAAACAAAAGTTTCGAACACTTAAATAATTTGCGCTAATTCTATGAGGTATTTGATAGGAAATAGATTTCGATTTTTCCATATGAATATTTTCTTGGAATTTTTTCTATAAGAATACTTGGGCATGAACTTCCCAAATTTTTTTTATTCGAATCCTGTAATGCGAAACAAAACGAAATATAGCGGAAAAAACTTGGAAAATTCGTGTCCAATAATTTTCTTAGAAAAAATCTCAAGAGAACTTCAAACAGAAAAATCGAAATCTATTGACTTTTTAAAAACATGAAATTTTAACGAGAGTTCTCTAGAATTTTAGTAGAATCCCCATAGAATTTCTAGAGAATTTCAATAGAATTGTCTGCCGGATTCGCTAATGTTTTCTATAAAATTTTTTCACACGTGAAACCGTAAAAGATACTTGGACATCCTCAAGTAGATGAGAATATTTTGAATCTACAGGTCCTCGAGAAACTCACCAGAAAGACAGTTTTCCAAATACATTTGCCGTTGTTCGAGGGCTCGGATTATCATACTTGGTGCTTCTATTCATTGTACTCACCGCAACACTGCTGTGTTACCTAGCGTGACGAGATTCCAGCGATGATGCTGAGAGATCTAGATGGTGCGAGGGACATCGATGAATGTGTTGATGGTACCGCAGTCCGATGATAAATCCGTATTTCGCACTCTCATCGGCGTTTTTTACCGCGTTATCTCTCGGATGTTTCATCAAGTGATAATACTAATTCTCGTTATCCACTTACTTCTCCCGGAGAGTCATCAAAACACGGCTTGTCTACGGGAGAACAAGCTTTATTGAACCGTTAAACTCCAGTTCTGTAATCGTGTCTGGTCGAAGTGAAGGTGAAAACGTAAAGGGAACGTCAATCATTTGTTCTCGAGGGACTGGTTTTTTTCACCATTCATTCGATCAAGTTTTTCCAGTACATATCATTTACATTAATTAACACCTTAGGCATCTAGCCAATATCATTCTGCTCTGTGTTCTTAGACGCTCCTTCGGCGATCATCTTCGATGCTCGCTAAATACCCATTCTCATTTCGTAAGAGTTCATGAGGACAACAATAAATTAGCTAAACAATCGCGAATGAAAAAGAAGATTTTTGTCATTAATTTTTTCATTTTTCTGCTTAGAGAAATAAAAAGAAATCAACTAGCATTTTTTGGAGAAAAACTTCAAACAAAATCCCACTTTAAAAAAATTCGTAAGGAAATTAATCTCAATGGGAACAATTCGCCGAGAAAGGATTGACGGGGAAAAAATTTCCGGGAAGTCTTCAACGGGAAAAAAACTCCGGCCACCATCGAGAATCTAGAAAAAAAAACTTTTTCAGTTTTCACTTTTTCCACATACTTTTGATAGTTCTGAATAGCCCGTTGCTTAAATAGTTGGAATCAACGTTCACCCGGCTAAAAAATTCGATTTTGGCGGAAGACCACTTGCCCCTGGAAAAACGGAAAATCTGACCCTTTGAAAATCGGAAAAAAAAAACTTTTTCAGTTTTCACTTTTTCCACATACTTTTGAGAGTTCTGAATAGCCCGTCGCTTAAATAGTTGGAATCAACGTTCACCCGGCTAAAAAATTCGATTTTGGTGAAAGTCGACTTTCCCCCTGGAAAAATCCAAGATCTGACACTTTGGCCCTCGTGACCCTTGTGACCCTTCGACCGACTTTCCCCCTGAAAAAATCCAAGATCTGACCCCTTTGGGTCCGGGTGAAAAATTTTTTTTTTCAGTTTTCACTTTTTCCACATACTTTTGAGAGTTCTGAATAGCCCGTCGCTTAAATAGTTGGAATCAACGTTCACCCGGCTAAAAAATTCGATTTTGGTGAAAGTCGACTTTCCCCCTGGAAAAATCCAAGATCTGACACTTTGGCCCTCGTGACCCTTCGACCGACTTTCCCCCTGAAAAAATCCAAGATCTGACCCCTTTGGGTCCGGGTGAAAAATTTTTTTTTTCAGTTTTCACTTTTTCCACATACTTTTGAGAGTTCTGAATAGCCCGTCGCTTAAATAGTTGGAATCAACGTTCACCCGGCTAAAAAATTCGATTTTGGTGAAAGTCGACTTTCCCCCTGGAAAAATCCAAGATCTGACACTTTGGCCCTCGTGACCCTTGTGACCCTTCGACCGACTTTCCCCCTGAAAAAATCCAAGATCTGACCCCTTTGGGTCCGGGTGAAAAATTTTTTTTTTCAGTTTTCACTTTTTCCACATACTTTTGAGAGTTCTGAATAGCCCGTCGCTTAAATAGTTGGAATCAACGTTCACCCGGCTAAAAAATTCGATTTTGGTGAAAGTCGACTTTCCCCCTGGAAAAATCCAAGATCTGACACTTTGGCCCTCGTGACCCTTGTGACCCTTCGACCGACTTTCCCCCTGAAAAAATCCAAGATCTGACCCCTTTGGGTCCGGGTGAAAAATTTTTTTTTTCAGTTTTCACTTTTTCCACATACTTTTGAGAGTTCTGAATAGCCCGTCGCTTAAATAGTTGGAATCAACGTTCACCCGGCTAAAAAATTCGATTTTGGTGAAAGTCGACTTTCCCCCTGGAAAAATCCAAGATCTGACACTTTGGCCCTCGTGACCCTTGTGACCCTTCGACCGACTTTCCCCCTGAAAAAATCCAAGATCTGACCCCTTTGGGTCCGGGTGAAAAATTTTTTTTTTCAGTTTTCACTTTTTCCACATACTTTTGAGAGTTCTGAATAGCCCGTCGCTTAAATAGTTGGAATCAACGTTCACCCGGCTAAAAAATTCGATTTTGGTGAAAGTCGACTTTCCCCCTGGAAAAATCCAAGATCTGACCCCTTTGGGTCCGGGTGAAAATTTTTCTTTTTCAGTTTTCACTTTTTCCACATACTTTTGAGAGTTCTGAATAGCCCGTCGCTTAAATAGTTGGAATCAACGTTCACCCGGCTAAAAAATTCGATTTTGGCGAAAGTCGACTTTCCCCCTTGAAAAATCCAAGATCTGACCCTTTGGCCCTCGTGACCCTTTGACCGACTTTCCCTCTGAAAAAATTATTTCGATCGTTCTACTTCCTTCGAATTCTTACTTTGCTGTTAACATATTGTTTGTCTCGTTTTACTCAATGATATTTATCTTACAAGAGAGTCACATTGATCCTATTTATTTGAATCGATTATTTCATAAAAAAGTTATTTTACATTTCTGATTTTTTACTGATATCGTCGAGCTTTATTTTCTTGCACGTTCCTTCCGCAATAGTCTTCAATTTGTTGTCCGTAGAAGTACCAGTTTCATTCGCCATGCTCGTTGAATATTCATTCTCATTTCGTAAGAGTTCATGAGGATAATCATATTCCACAACTTGACCGTGATCCATCATTAGTCTTCGATCGCTGTCCATAACAGCATTGAGTCTGTGTGCTATCGTCAAAACTGTGCAGTCCTTGAATTTCTCGCGAATTGTTCGCCGTATGAGAGCGTCAGTAGCTGGATCAACGTTGGCAGTCGCCTCATCCAGTACGATTATTTTATTATTCCTGACAATAGCTCGGGCTAGACAGAGCAATTGTCGCTGGCCAGCGCTGAAATTGGTACCACCTTGGGTGACTAGATAATCCAGGGACTGACTGTGACCCTTCAGCTCCACTTCTCCCAGAGCAGCCCAGAGTTGATCGTCCTTGAATTGGTGGAAGGGATCCAAATTATCACGCAGTGTTGCTGAAAATAGCATTGGTTCCTGTGGTATTATGGATATTTTCTTCTCAAGTCATGCAAGTCGATCTTCTTTGTATCAACTCCATCAATACGAATGGCTCCTTCGAGTTCCGCTACGTTGAAGAGTGCAGCTATGAGTGATGATTTACCAGCTCCAGTGCAGCCCACAATTCCCAATCTAAATATAATATTCATAACTGTCATTGGCAATGTTACTTTGTACCATAATAATACACGTAATCCTTCTCATATCGTTATCATTCTGAATACCCTTCTATTTAACTTGTGCAAATAATTCCTCCTTTATCTTATCTTAACGATTAAGTGAAGTTTTATTGAACAACAATTTGACTATGTGCACTTGAGAGAATGTCACGTGCTGTTGTGCAACTGCCGGTATCAATTCTGGTAGTAAATATCTCAATAATTTTTACAAAACCTGCTGGTTTCAACTACCTTCATGCCTGCTTCTATAATAAGATTCAAGTCCTTCAAGGATTTTAATTTCGGCTATTTTCCCTAGCTTTTGAATATTTTGCAGAAGCTCTTCATTTTTTCGCCTCATTTCAGATCGAATCTTGTCTCTGGCAGTTTACGGAAATCGGGTGATTCCATTAACTCAATTTATTCAGTTAATTTTAAAATCGCATTTTTACGATTTGTCAGAATGGATTGGTGGTTTTTCAAATCTCATAAATAGCTTTTTGTTACTGTGAAACAACAAACGATTGTCGCCAATCTAATTTTTTGTATAATGATGTATACGTATTTCTTCAGAAAGAGGAGATAGCGAATGAATTTTACTAACTTTTAGTATTTTGTGGCCCTAAAAAGGGCCGATCATTGGATTTTTAAGTTGTAACTTAGGCTCTCTCTCCACGAATACGACGAGCCAGCTGGATGTCCTTGGGCATGATGGTTACTCTCTTGGCGTGGATGGCGCAGAGATTGGTGTCCTCGAAGAGACCAACGAGGTAAGCCTCGCTGGCTTCCTGAAGAGCCATCACAGCAGAACTCTGGAACCTCAGGTCGGTCTTGAAGTCCTGGGCGATCTCACGAACAAGTCGTTGGAACGGCAGTTTACGGATGAGAAGTTCTGTGCTCTTCTGGTAACGACGGATCTCACGAAGAGCGACAGTTCCTGGCCTGTAGCGATGGGGCTTCTTGACCCCTCCAGTGGCTGGGGCACTCTTACGAGCGGCTTTGGTAGCCAACTGTTTCCTGGGAGCCTTTCCTCCAGTGGATTTACGGGCAGTTTGCTTGGTACGAGCCATTGCGTCAAATAATTGCTTTCAGGGATGAGCAAAACGAATGAATCGAACAGTTAAAGAGCTGTTATATATACTATCGTCCTTCAGTCTCATTGGTTCGAGGCGCCGGAGAGGGAGAACTAACCGACGTTGCACTATTGATGTTTTCGAGAGCAGTGGGGGAATGTGCTACGCGACATCTATAAAACCGCGACTGTTTCACCTTTGAGCATCACAAGCTTCGGCTACTCTCATTAGTTTTGACGTGTTCATCAAAGCCAGGTAAAAATGACTGGTCGTGGAAAGGGAGGAAAAGGATTGGGAAAAGGAGGAGCCAAACGCCATCGCAAAGTCCTTCGTGATAACATCCAGGGCATCACCAAGCCAGCCATTCGTCGTCTCGCTCGTCGAGGTGGAGTCAAACGTATTTCAGGATTGATTTACGAAGAGACTCGCGGTGTACTCAAGGTCTTCCTTGAGAACGTCATCCGTGATGCTGTCACCTACACCGAACACGCCAAGAGGAAGACTGTCACCGCTATGGACGTCGTCTATGCCTTGAAACGTCAAGGACGCACTCTTTATGGATTTGGAGGTTAAGATCAACATCTGTGGAAAACAAACAATCGGCCCTTTTAAGGGCCACCAAAAACTTTCAACATGGGAAGATAAAATTGTCCATTTAAATACTGGTGTTTACCAAATTTCATTCTGGAAATAAGAATTGAGTAGTCTTAATTTGACATGATTAATCATGTCAACTCCATTTAATCAGACAGTTCTATTAAAGAATAGAAATTGATTTGAATTTAATGTTTGTTTCTTGGTATTTGGTAAAATTGCTGGGAATTTCTCTAGCATTTTCACAAAAATACGGGGAACATGCACGTTTTCTCCAATAAAATTTCACCGGAATTTTTTTCTGGCCGTCACTTTGCGCCTCTTCTTCCGTGCTAGGACTAGAATTTTTCTGAACAATTTCTCCTGTAAATGATCACCCACTCGGTTGATCTCTTTCAACGTTTAATTAGACTCGTGATGATGAAAAATAATGCCCTTCTTTTCAAATGGTCAGGTCATTCGTCAAATAAACGAATTATTTATAGACTTTTTAAATCTTCTGATCCATTTTATTTACGTTGTACCTTTTTACCGTTCGATCGCTTGTGTTAGTTTCATTTTCCTTTTGAAGCTGTGAAATATTCTTCGACAGAGAACTCCGCCGAAAATTATCGCTGGAAGATTATGAACCTTCATTTAACGTCGCAAAAAATATTGCAAATAATAACAAGGCATTCCTTTATTCTTAATGAAAAAACAAACAAATTTGTCTTCAATATCCGTTTCTTTAGAAATGAGCCCGATGCACACGTAAAGAACTCCTTCGTTATGATTGATTCTAATTCATTACGGAAAAGTCGAACTATTTTGAAACCCATGTAGATCATCTAATGTTATAAAAACAAAACATGACCTTTGTATAACATTAATCAAATCACCCGATTAAACATATGTTTTCTGGATCCACTTGCCGTATGAAGCGTTCAGTGCCGAGACATTTTCGATTCCAATCAAATACCGAAAATGAATTGTGAAATGAATTTTCCTGCCAACTAGGAAGAGCGCGATATAACAAACGTGATAATTTTTAAGATTGTATTTGATTCTTAGATATTGTTTTACTTCATATTGTGCGCAATAACTTCCCTAGAAACCCACTTCCGTTTTGGTCGGATCCGACACATTAACTTATCAAAATTGCGTATTAATCATCATTTCTCATGAAAAATTCTGTACTGCCAACATTTATTAATCATTACAGCATGTACTCAAGATAATACATCGACGAAATCATGCGAATTGTTTATTACACGACTGTTTAAATGCAGCAACACCAAAAACACCGAAAGTACGAGAGCAACATTTCGAGCAATTGTTCCTCACTTTTTGATTCTACGAATTAAAACTACAATTCTGTAGCCTAATTAGACTTTTGTGAAGATGATGTGATTCTGAGAAATGTATTATTGTTGCTGCAACAACGCTTAAAAAAATAAAATGTCAAGAACGAGACACCAATTGCAGCATTGTGACACCGAAGTTGCGGTCTCAGAATCGGCAGGCCTGTCTCCATGGTCCGCGCTCAACTGCCTAGTCACTCCACCGAGATGCTAGCGCTCTGATCAGAATAATTCAGTTTAACTGAAGGTATTTCGATTTGTTCACGCGAATTTAAGATGACTGACAAAGCTGCGTCACCAGTAGTTTCTGCGGCAGCGGTTTCTCCTGCTCCCGCAAAGGCAGAAGTTGCCAAAAAAGCAACTAAGGCGAGAAATCCAAAGCCTAAACCAACTCATCCCAGCACCGCTGACATGGTCAATACCGCTGTAAAGACCCTTGCCGAGCGTAATGGATCATCCCTCCAGGCTATCAAGAAGTACATCGCTGCCAACTACAAGCTCGACACCACAAAGCACGCACTCTTCATCAAGAAGTACCTGAAGTCCGCAGTTGCTGCTGGAACTCTTGTGCAAACTAAAGGAAGTGGTGCGTCTGGATCGTTCAAGCTCGCAGTGAAGAAGACCGACGCTTCGAAGCCAAAAGCTAAACCGGCGGCTGCCAAGAAGGAAGCATCACCGAAGAAAGCTGCTGTCAAGAAGGCAGCTAAGAAGACCGAAGCAGCAAAGCCGAAAGCCAAGAAAGTAGCTTCTCCCAAGAAAGCTGCAGCGAAGAAACCAGCTGCTGAGAAGAAGGCCGCCAAGCCGAAGGTAGAGAAAGCTGCGGCTAAGCCAAAAAGCCCAAAGACGAAGAAAGCGACAAAAGGACCAACTGCTAAACCCAAGGCACCCAAACCGAAGAAGGCTGCTGCTTCTCCAAAAGCCAAAGCAGCGGCTAAGAAACCAGCCCAGAAGAAGTGAATTGAACATAATAATTCAATTCAGTCATGAACGTAACCAAACGGCCCTTTTCAGGGCCAATAACAATTTTAAACGTAAAAATTCTTAATCGCTAAGGACTGTCCTAAACATTTCTTTCATTTATTCGATATACGCATGATGACGCGTGATACGCGTTTATATGAATCTTTAGAATTGTTTTCTCCTGCAATTATTATTTTTTATTCATTAAACTACTTCATTGACTCGAGAAGAGAATGTTAACTCCTCGCGTACGGGACCTTTCTGTGACAAAGCCTGACGTGCGCTTGATATCACTGAGATTCGATAACTCCTGATGCATGCGAAATTACAAAACGCATTAGAAATTGAAGCTACACTATCCAACGCTCGAATGGCGTTGGCGGAATTGGATTATCTGTCATAGTTTTGGAATTACCAGTCTTGAACAGATCATGCGTTTTTACTTGGGTCCGTATGCGTATGTGGACCCCGTCTCAGAGTGTTGAACTCTCCGTAATATAGATTATAATTTACGATTGAGTTCTACTAGGTCAGATTAATTTGTGGCCCTGAAAAGGGCCGGTGATGTTTGTTTACTTCAAGTTGAAGTAAATTAGGCTCTCTCTCCACGAATACGACGAGCCAGCTGGATGTCCTTGGGCATGATGGTCACCCTCTTGGCGTGGATGGCGCAGAGGTTGGTGTCTTCGAAGAGACCAACGAGGTAAGCCTCGCTGGCTTCTTGAAGAGCCATCACAGCAGAACTCTGGAACCTCAGGTCGGTCTTGAAGTCCTGGGCGATCTCACGAACAAGTCGTTGGAATGGGAGTTTTCGGATGAGGAGCTCAGTGCTCTTCTGGTAACGACGGATCTCGCGGAGAGCTACGGTTCCTGGCCTATAGCGATGGGGTTTCTTGACTCCTCCAGTTGCTGGCGCACTCTTACGAGCGGCCTTGGTTGCTAATTGTTTTCTGGGAGCCTTTCCTCCGGTGGATTTACGGGCAGTCTGCTTGGTACGAGCCATTGCGTCGGTAATTTGCTTTCAAAGTTTGCAGCAAAACAGTGGAGTTGCGACATTCGAACTCAGCATATATACATCGCAGCGCGTGATTGTGATTGGTTCGTAGAGTGAAGTGGGGATACATTACTGACGAGACACCATTGGTGTACTTTCGAGTGGTGGGAGAATCCTCTACGCGACATCTATAAAAACACGACCATTTGGCGAAAAAGTATCACAAGCTTTTGCTAGTTTATTCAGTATTGACGTGTTTGTTAAACTAAAGTTAAAATGACTGGTCGCGGCAAGGGAGGAAAGGGGTTGGGAAAAGGAGGAGCCAAGCGCCATCGTAAGGTACTTCGTGATAACATCCAGGGAATCACCAAGCCTGCTATCCGTCGTCTCGCTCGTCGTGGTGGTGTCAAACGTATCTCCGGTCTGATCTACGAAGAGACTCGTGGTGTTCTCAAGGTGTTCCTTGAGAACGTCATCCGTGATGCAGTTACCTACACCGAACACGCCAAGAGGAAGACCGTTACGGCTATGGATGTGGTCTACGCACTGAAACGTCAAGGACGTACTCTCTATGGATTTGGAGGTTAAACGCAGTTCATTCATTGAACTACTTGAACATCAAACGGCCCTTTTCAGGGCCACCAAAAATTTAGACGTTGGTTTATAACATATCGCATCTAATTACTAATTAATTTTATGTTGCAACACAATGTTATTCAATAATAGAGACGTGCAATCTCGTTACTTTTATGTCCCGACAGTAGTTATAATATGAGAAAGCATTCTCTGCTAAATACTCGCTACTTTTTTTTTATTAATTGAAATTGAAAAAGAGTTGAATAACGATAAGAATTAAACGAGGTGAAGTTGCAGGTTTGAACATATTTTTGTGAATCCACATTTTGATTATTAGTTTTCAGTGAAATGTACTACTTGGTTGAAGGATATAATATTTATCTAAAATCTCAAAGCTAAATCTTAATGGCTTTCTCTATAGAGTAATAGTAATTATTAAATGTTACTGGTTTTTACATGAACTGAAAATAACCTGGATGGTTAATTAAATTCAATGAGCTCTTTGTATTCGTTCATCTTACTGGAAAAATAAAACAATTGAATATCAAAGATCTCATGGGAAAATTAGTAACCCAAATATCGCTTCATTTCGCTCCGTAAACACGAACATAACCTCACAAATGGACGAATATTACGGAGAATGAATGAAGTGAAATATCCACTTCGTTATTGACACGGAGAACAGGTCGAAGAATTCACAATGAAGTCGTTATTATTGCAAACAAATGAATCAACACGCGCATTTTGTTCTTTTACTTTCCAAATATTTCGATTTATTGATCGTGGCAACTGGTATGAAGACCCTCATGCCTTAAAATACAGAACTGTATGTGCAAAATTCATTTGGAATCCACGTATTGAAGGTTTCGGAAAATTTAGATTATTACTCTTGTAATATGACATTTCTATACCTTTATTCTTACAACAGGAGTCCGCGCTAATATACGGATTGCCACTTCCACTAGCGAATTTCTTGAGTAAAAAGTAAAGTATTGAAAGTATAGATTGAATTTTAAGTCAGTGTTCTCATTGAACCTCATCAATTACAACAGCGAAGCTAATTGAATTGTCAACGTTGTAAAAATGTTGTGGCCCTGAAAAGGGCCGATTGTTTTTGAGTTGTCCCACCTTACTTGGAACTTGTGTATTTAGTAACAGCTTTGGTGCCTTCAGAAACAGCGTGCTTAGCCAACTCTCCGGGGAGAAGTAGACGAACAGCAGTCTGAATTTCCCGAGATGTAATGGTGGAGCGCTTGTTGTAGTGAGCAAGTCTGGACGCTTCAGCAGCAATACGTTCGAAAATGTCGTTAACGAACGAATTCATGATGCTCATGGCCTTGCTGGAGACTCCAGTGTCAGGGTGAACTTGCTTCAAGACCTTGTAGATGTAGATAGCATAGCTCTCCTTCCTCTTGCGCTTCTTCTTCTTGTCGGTCTTAGTGATGTTCTTCTGGGCCTTTCCAGCCTTCTTCACAGCTTTGCCGCTAGCCTTGGGTGGCATCGTCGTAAAATTGTACTCTTCACTGACTGAGGAACAGAGGTGAAATGTGATTTCGCAGGGAAAGCCGTTGTTTTTAATACAGTCCGCGTCGACAGCGCCGAACCAATCAGCTACGCTCAGTTGCGGTGATGCGCGCGCATTGACTCGGCAGTCCATGCGTCTGAGGCTATATAAATGGTGGGGAGCGTCTGAAAAAAACATTAAAACCTCAGTTCTCTACCGGAGAGCTGCTTTTAGTAAACGTTAAATTTTCATTCTATCATCATGTCTGGTCGCGGCAAAGGTGGAAAAGTCAAGGGCAAGTCAAAGACTCGCTCTACCAGGGCTGGCCTTCAGTTCCCAGTTGGTCGTATTCATCGTCTCCTGCGCAAAGGAAATTACGCAGAGCGTGTCGGTGCTGGAGCTCCAGTTTACCTCGCTGCAGTTATGGAGTACTTGGCTGCTGAGGTCCTCGAGTTGGCAGGCAA